AACAAAAGGGACTAAAATTTCTTTGTCCTGATTGGTCAAATTTCAATCTTGAATCTTGAATCTCAATCTTCAATGCATAGTCTGTAGTTGATACGGTCTTAAGGCCGATATTACATTTGTCGTACAACAAACTTTTTAAGCATATTGATTGGCTGCAAAATAGAAACTTTCTTGAGTCTCTAGAAATTAGCTAATCAATGCGCTTAAAAAGTTTGTCGTATGACAAATGTAATATTAGCCTTAGGCCGGTATTCATAGTCCGTTCTTATATTCAAGATTGTCTTAAGTGTGGTCTTGGATCGTCTTAAGATCCCATTCAACCAATGAAATGGCCGCATAGCATCTTAAGACCGTACTTAAGACGATCTTGAATATAAGAACGGACTATGAATACCGGCCCCATCTCTTCCATCTCTTCTCCATAGACATATAGAATGGACTGAGCGTTGCGATAGACAAACGCGCGCTCGCTGTAAAAAGAGAGATACTATATGGAAGGCCTATTTTGTCTCTTTTCCTAGCATCTCATTGGTGATTTCATCCCCCTCCATATAGAAAATTACCAATGAGATGCTAGGAAAAGAGACAAACACAGGCCTCCCATATAGTACCTCTCTTTCTACAGCGGGCGCGCGTTTTATCTATTTCACAATGCTCAATCCAGTCTATATATCTATGGTTGGGGTTAATATACCCTGTATCATACTTCAATTTGCCGCATGATCGCCATGTTGGTCCCGCAGCTGCCCATTTGTAATCTAAAATGTCTTAAAAATGTCTCAGAGATATTTAAAATTTTTTTTTTTTAGAAAATAACATTACTTGGCGTCGGGACGCTACCGCGTCGCTTGACAAATATACTTTTTTCTCACTTACGGTACGCCGATTGCGGTTAGTTTGCACGTAGGATTCACTACGGGACCAACATAGGGCGCGTTCCATTTAACGACCGCAACGCTCGCGAGCATCATCTGTCTTTGTTTAACTTTCGGTGAACAACAAAGTTGAAATGATACCGTGAGCCTTGCGGTCATTAAGTGGAACTGGCCTATGGCGGTCAGCCAATCAGCAAGCAGAACGCCATTGTCGCTTCTCTGATTATATACGACTCTAGTCTGCTCTGCTGAGCATTGACGGCCGTAGGCTTAGAACATATATAAATGGAAAGGGAATGCCTTTGTTTCCCGATAGAAAAACATGTCGGAAGGAAGTAAGGAAGAAAATCATAGTTGCCTCTCTCTTGTGAGTAACTACACATACAAGCATCGTGTCTGTAATATACATACTTTTGTGTACACACACATAGCCGCGCATGCGCACTTTTGAGCAAAGTAACTCACAAGAGAGAGGCAACTACGATTTCTTTCTCACTTCCTTCGTGAAACGGAACGCACCCATAGAATGGACTGAGCGTTGCGATAGACAAACGCGTGCTTGCTGTAGGGAGAGAGGTACTATATGGGAGGCCTATTTTGTCTCTTTTCCTAGCATCTCATTAGTGATTTTATCCCCCTCCATATAGAAAATCACCAATGAGATGCTAGGAAAAGAGACAAACATAGGCCTCCCATATAGTACCTCTTCTTCTACAGCAAGCGCACGTTTGTCTATTTCACAGTGCTCAATCCAGTCTATATATCTATGGTCCGGTTAGATGAACCGACGGTTAAAATTAGCAGGGTGGCCAACAGAAAATAGAGGTGAAGGGCTAATTTTAACCGTCGGTTTATCTAACCGGACTTGGTGAAATTGGCCCTTAGGCCGTAGGTTATGAATGGGTGCGTTCAGGAGACACAACTGTTGAGTAGCAATCGAACGTGATTGGTTCTTACTTCTAGAATTAACAAATTAACGTCGAGTGTTGACAAGACGATGCTCAACAGTTGTTTCGCCTGAACGCGCCCAATGCGATTCACGAGAGAAAACTGCGTGAACAAATTTGCCACATGGCGATAGTGACGCCCTCTAACGACACAATGAGAGAAATTAGAGGATTTAAATTCTCTGCGCAAACCAAGATATACTATAGCCATGTTCCAAAATTCACTGCCAGTATTGGAAATCTATAAAAAGTCCGTATAGCCCGTATCAGACTACGCATTGAAAATTGAAGATTAAAGATTGGAATTTGACTAATCAGAACAAAAGGGACTAAAACTTCTTTGTCCTGATTGGTTAAATTTTAATCTTCAATCTTCAATCTCAATCTTCAATGCGTAGTCTGATACGGGCATATCAGACAACGCATTGAAGATTGAGATTCAAGATTCAAGATTGAAATTTGACCAATCAGAATAAAGAAAATTTTAGTCTCTTTTGTTCTGATTAGTCAAATTTCAATCTTTAATTTTCGATCTTCAATGCGTAGTCTGATATGGGCTTAATATACGTTACGTGAACTATAGATTTACAGTACTGGCTATAGACATAGTATATGTAGACCGAGTATTGAGGAGTAGGATCCAAGCATCAACATATAGGATAGACTGCTGATTGCAGTGGAAGGAGTAACTGCACGAGTAGAATAAGAGGCAGATAACGTAGAGTCCTAAGTAGAGTCCTAAATAATCAGAGGCGACAATAGCGTCTCGCTTGCGCTGACCGCCATGTTGGTCCCGTAGTGAATAGTGAATCCTATGTGCAAACTAACCGCAACCGGCGTACCGTAAATGAGAAAAAAGTATATTTGTAATGTTATTTTCTAAAAAAAAAACATTTTAAATATCTCTGACAATGAGACATTTTTAAGACATTTTAGATTTACAAATGTATAGCTGCGGGCTACTGATCTCTATACATAACTGGATAAGGCTATAGGACGAAAAGACTGTGACCAATTGAAGGTTGTGCGCTTTGTCTACAATATGGCGCCTAATGGTTGTACGTAAAAACCATAGATATATAGACTGGATTGAGCATTGTGAGATAGGTCTAGTTTCCACCGAAGTATTAATTCGCATCTAGCGCGGCGTAGGACCGCGGTTTCCACCGAAGTCATCGGTCCAATTCTGTTTCGGTGCGCATCGAATTTAAAGTTTCCATCGACTTAAATTTAGTCCTACGCCGCGCTAGATGCGAATTGATACTTACGGTGGTAACTAGACCATAGACAAACGTGCGCTTGCTGTAGAAAAAGAGGTACTATATGGGAGGCCTATGTTTGTCTCTTTCCTAGCATCTCACTGGTGATTTTCTATATGGAGGGGGAGAAAATCACCAATGAGATGCTAGGAAAAGAGATAAAATAGGCTTCCCATATAGTACCTCTCTCTCTACAGCAAGCACGTGTTTGACTATCGCAACGCTCAGTCCATTCTATATGTCTATGATAAAAACGTAGAAATCAATGAGATCGTATCCGTGTGATCCATTCAAATTTAAAAAAATATTTGATATGGTACAAAAGTGTATTTATTGTGGGAAAAACCAAAAAGAAAATAATATTGAAAAGAAACAAAGTTTTCACAAGTAAGTAAAATAGTAAATTATAAATTTGAATTTCATAGGTTATGCTTAAGATTATTTTGACAGATTATTTTATTTGTAGTAAAAAATCCTTAAATGTTAATAATAGTATAATTATTAAAAGACAAAGGAAAACAAAATTAGATCAAAATAGAATTAGAAAGTAAAATTAAGTATGAATGGTTTAATAAATATTATTCCGTTTATTTTATTTAAATAATAAATTTTGTCTTAAGAAAATCTTTTTTTTTTAAATATATATTATATATATGTAATTGTAATATAATAAAATTTTAATAATAAATTGTGTTTATAGATTCCCAGATGCAGTAGAACACTCAAATATATTTCAAAAATGTGTATCGAATATGAATTTGAAAAGTATCAAAATATCAAAACATTCAAGATTATGTTCTGATCACTTTGAAGAGAAGAATTTTGCTATTAAAGATAAAAACATATATTTAAAACCAGGAAGTGTTCCAACATTATTTTCGAAAACTAAAGTACAATGCATATTTTGTAAAACTGAGAAAGGTACAAATCAGGCTCGATCATTTCACAAGTAAGTAGTATAACTCATTTGTTCTATTCTTAGTTTTAAAAATGCTTATAATATACTGGACACTATTCCATGGATAGATACTACATACATATACGTGCACACATACGTGCACACCTATTAAATAATATACAGATAATTTCTATATTACATTTTTATATTACGTTAACATGATTTTATATTTTAGTGCAATAAATTTTAATAAAAAAAGAGGAATATATAACATTGTAAACATTATTATCTTTATTATATATTTAAAATATTAAAAACATATATACTTAAAATATTAAATTTCCAAAAATTCAACTATATTGATTTAAATCTCTTACTTTTAGGTTTCCTATGAATAATCCAAACATTTTGAATATGTGGATAGCAAATATGCACATGGAAAATTTATATCCCACGTCCGATGATGTATTATGTTCTGATCATTTTAAACAAGATTGCTTCTTACGTCATGGCCAAAGAAAAACTTTACAACCCAAAAGAAATGCAATACCAACCATCTTTATAGGTAAGTGTCCTACAGATATTGGATTACTATATTCTTTAGAAGTACTTTTTTAGACACAGCAATTCTCATGATAATAAAAAAATTAAAAATTTAAACATTTATTTTTTGTTAAAAAATAATTATAAAATTACAATGTTAAGTATGATAAAAATTATTTATGTTAAATATTGTTGCCTTAAATGTTTTCTTTGATTTTATTTTTAAATGTATATAAATTATTTAAATTATGTATTGATATTATCATTTTCAAATTTGTAACAAGAACATATTGTATGTACAGATTCTAAATTAATATTGTTCATATCCATTAATAAATATTTACATTATATAGTTATATATTTTTTCAATTAAATTCTGCTATTTACATATTTCCTGATATTGTTTTTATTTTAAATCCTTTCTCTATGCCTGAAGCTGAAACCTCTACAAGTCAGACAAACAATGAAAATACGCTAATTAATGAAAATAGTCAGTTGTACAATTTAAATGAAAATACCGTCGATTCAAATGAAATGATTGTTGATAATGGTTCCATATGTATTAAATTAGTTTCATGTTTAAAATGTAATATCTTTCCAATATTTTTGCACGCATCATATAGAAAAACAAAGAAAAAGAAACAAAAATTCGATTTCTAAATTGACTTAATTAACTAATATCCTTTTTCCTTAAATACACAATGTTGTAAATAGTCTTTTTTTATACATATTTAAATAATTAAATTATCTTCAAATACACATTCTATATTGTGTGTGTGTGTGTGTGTGTGTGTTTGATAATTTTACGTATTAATTTCTATTTAATTTGCAAAGTATATTTTATTTGGTTAAAATATTTAAGAAGTTTAAATAAATAATATTTAAAAAGTTTTTAGTAATTTAAATTTTCCGCCAAGAATTGTGGACATAGCCCACAACTTTAATGGCTTCCGGTGTTCTATTGGTCACAGTCTCTGAGCTGCGGATCCTAGTGTATGCCTTATCCAGTTATGTATAGAGATCAGTGCTGCGGGCCCAACATGGCGATCATGGGAAGCATGGAGGGGATAACGATGTCGCCTCTCTGACTACGTTTACACGTCACCCCTAATCGGATTTAATAACATCCGTAGTTCGAAGGCTGGCCAATCACAGTCATTCCATCCTTCAGAGGAATAGCTGTGATTGGTCAGTTTCACAACTACGGATGTTATTAAACCCGATTAAGGGTGCCGTGTAACAGAGCTCTCTGATTATTTAGGATTCTAACATGAAGTAACGTTCCGTCTTTTTCTAATGCCTGATTGGATCAGCAGTACTGCTGATTTCTTGCCAACTAATCAGGCTTCATTAGAAAGAGACGGAACGTAACCTCATATTATCTGCCTCTCATTCTACTCGTGCGGCTCCCCTTCCACTGCTATCAGCAATCCATTCTATAGGCCATTGCACGTTCAAAAATTTTAGTCGTAACCGTAAGGCCGTAAGCAAATCAACCAATCACGGTCCAAACATTCTTATTACATTTTAGAATGCTTGATTGTGATTGGTTGATTTGCTTACGGCCTTACGATTACGACTAAAACTTTTGAACGTGCAATGGTCTTAAGGCCCTTCTACATAGGACGCAACACGCTAGACGCAAGCAAATCGACCAATCACAGTCGATTATTCCGAGAATATTCGACTATGATTGGTCGATTTGCTTGCGTCTGGCGCGTTGCGTCCTATGTAGACGGGCCTTTATATCTCGATGGGACCAAGGTACACATAGAAAAGAACATACTCTGTTCTGTGTCCCTTGCGTTCTCTCTCGCTCGCACGTAGCATAGCAAAAGAGAACGCTATGCTACGTGAGAGCGAGAGAGAACGCAAGGGGCACAGAATTAAAGGCCGTATTACACTACGGATTGCGGACTCGATTGCGGTTGGGGTTACGGTTGACGATTACGGATTGACCAATCAGAGAAAAGCAGCTTGCCGGTTGATCGATCAATCCGCAAATGTCAACCGTAACAGAGAGAAGCCTGAGAGAGGCAATGCCGACGATTTTCGTGGGACGCTTTTTCTAGGCCGTAGAGCAGCGCCGTGCATCCACTTTTAGGAATTGGAAACACTTACCCACATCCACTTTTCGG